TAGTTTGTTTGGACAATGTGAATGGAGCAGTCAATAGAAGATAGATAATAAAATAATTTAAATCAGTGGACCAAGATAGAAACCATACAGAAAATGCACTAAAATCCACTAACTATGTGGACCGTGTATACGGTGTCTTTTCTGGGCTCCTCATGCTATAGACATGTCTCTTTCTTGTTGTGGAAGCTAAGCATAGTACTTTCTAGTAGCCAGCTGTGGCCAAGTTGCAAAGTGGATAGCGGCCACGCCTTTAGTCTAATTCCCTGTATGCTCCTGTATGATGTTTTCAGTATGACTGACTTGGATATTCTTTTTTTCTTTCTGGTATAGGACAGCTGAGAAGAAGCTGAGAGGAGAAATGGACGTTAAGAACATGCTACCACTTCTTTCTGGAAATGGCTGAACTGAAAACTTGGATGTGACACCATCAACCAAGGCAGTGGGACAGTTCTTTTTTGGGTATCTAAAGCTTAACCAGCAAGTAGCAGATAGATATTAGGTCAAACTCCCTGTGTAGGCACCTACCCAGAACCAGTTATTAGCACTGTGGTTGATTTCTCCACTTCTTTGCCACTTATTGGTATTGCTGATTCGACTGGTGGTGTGCTTCTAAGGTTGTGGGAGTTCTAGACATTATTATTAAACTTTGTCATCCTGGTCCTCTGCGCTGTCTTGGAAAAACGCCCAAGCTAAGAATTGGAATCAGGGTAGTTTAGAAATATTAGCTCAAAGGGTCTGTAAACTAGATGAGACTACCTTGCTCTGATCAGACCTGAGGCACTGTTCTGCTGGGTGCCCTCTTTCCATTTACAATAACCAAGGTGCCTATGTATTTGTTTCTTTGTATCTGGTCATGGAGAGCCTGGCCTAGGTGTGACCACTGGGTGACCCCAGCACCTGTGTGGTGATGTGAAGTGACTTTGCTGTCCTGTTTCCTGCCTGTTAAATAGAAAAGCTGGATCAAATGTTCTTAAAATATTTCTGAACCCTGATGCTTATAGAACAGTAGTAGTTGTGGGATCAGGGTGTGCTCCCAGGAAACTTGGCATCAAGACATCTAGTAAACAAACAGTGGACCAGCTATAACTATTTTCCTCTGGAGAAGTTCTTCACACAGTAATAGTGTATTGGAAAACATAAAGCTTGAAAATATGATGTAAATAGATTGTAAAAAATGTAGCAATTCAAAAGTAGCTTTTCCATTTTCCAAGAAATGTTAGTCTTCACTCTGTTTCAGAGGCAGTAGCTAGGGGATTCTGGTTGCTTTTGCTGACCTTTTGTCACTGCTCAATGGAATTGTGTGCTGCATTAATTCTATCATCAGTTGCATTTTTTAATTGTGTTTTGGATTGTAACTACAAAATAAACCACATAACCACTGCTAGCTATTAGTACTGGATGGTGCAAGTGATATTCCCACACAGTCTGAGGAAAAAAACCAGCATTAGTGCTAGCATTAGTGCTAGCAGTGTAGATTTAATAAAAGGGCAAATTAGAACAGAGACTTCAGCTCCCAAGAACATGAAGGTGAAAGCCGTGAATGGCCCCTAGGTACCAGGCTATCAACTGTCCTGAAGTGGCAATCATGAAATCATTATGTTTCATTTTAAATAGTTACAGTATTCAGTAAGCTAGTGCAATGAACAGGGGAATTAGCAGGCTCAGGCTTCCTTCCTTAGCCCTCACTCCATCATAGAGTTAAAACTGAGTAGAAGAAAGTATGTTCTAGACTCTTAAGTAAGTGTCAGGTGAAATTTAAGGCTGCTGTAGTCTTCCAAATTTTTACTAGCTTGTCTATAATAGAGTCTCACTCAGACCAATTTGTTTTTGATCCCCTCAGTGACTCATTCCATATACCTCTGTACAGGCTTGAAGTGTGTCCCTAAAAAATATACAGTGGGTAGGCATTTAAAAGTTAGTTGGAAACATCACAGGGCTGAACACTATCATCCACAAACGTGGATCTGGCCTAAACACTTACATGGTAGGCAGCATACAGCTGTTCTGCCTGGGACTTCAGCAAATATAGATCATTTAAGCTACTGTTTAAGTTAAGTTAGTCTTGTAACAAAAGTAAAAGGGATATAATACCCATCTATGGTAATGCACACTAGTCTTTCTATTTCATGTATTGCAAGAAAAGCCATTTCCACAGTAACACTGTATTTTACTCTGTTAAATCTGTGCAAGACCTTTAGGAAAAATGGACAGGGCTATCAAAGTATAATTGAGAGCAGGATTTAACAGGCTATTCATTAAATACAAAGAAGCTGGCTTCCAAATGAAGGGTTTCAGGTAGGGGAAAGTAGGAGACTACAACCTCTTGAACAGCAGAAGAAATTTAAGATCATATCCTAGAGAGCAAGTTAGTCATCCTTCCACATCCTACCTCAGAGAAGGGAGCTTAAAATGAATGCCCTGTACATATCTTTAATACATATGTATTAAACAAAAACAAAACCACCACCACCACAAAAACAGGGCAGGGCAAGGAGGTGGGGAAGCTGCTTGACCACTACTAAAGAAATTTAACACTTAGCAGTTTGCATTAAAATTAGATAATAAACTCGGGATTTTTTTTTTCGTTTTTTAAAAAGACTTGGAAGGGGATTAAAATAACTTGTTTTCCTTGGTAAAATTCACTAACACGTGTTAGTGATTAGTTTCATTACATTTGACACAGGTTTTTAAGTCTCTTTATGTAAAATCTTGTGATGAGCTGAGTGGTATTGCTTTTTCAGTACCACTTCCAGCTGTTTAGAAACACTGGTTTTAGGAAGAAGAAAAATCTGCTAGTGCATGATTTTTCTGAGTAAACAGCTTGATGCAATTACCTAACTGGCATGCATACATATGTAACACACAGTATCTTAAATGGATCTTTAATAGTAAGAAGGTAATTGTATGTACTACATACCATAATAATTAGAATCAGTAAATTACATGTATGAAAATCTTTATTTGAAAATACAAACATGATTTTTAAAACCTTTGAGATGTACACTGCAACCAAAAATAACTTACATCTTTTTGTACATTTTTCAACAAAATCTGTTTAACAGTAAAGTGAGGCAACAATTTCAAGCTGCTGTGACACTGTTTGAATATCCATGGAATGTGTCAATAGCAAACAACTGAAGGCAGGGGATAGACAAAAGCACTGAATGCCCGCAACAAATTAGTGCACATCACTGATCAAGTAACATTTATACAAAGGACTGACTTAAAAAAAAAAAAAAAGAATTGGTTCCTTCTACATGAATTAAAACACTCATTTTGGATCAAGTATGAACACTAAAACAGACTTCATTATTAAATTATCTTTTTATAATGAACATCAATGAAAAGACTTACGTTTAAAAGGGCAAGCAAAGTTAAAGTTGGGGCAGACAAGGACTACATTGAAAAGAGGAGCAACTTGTTTCAGCCATTAGTTTTCCACGTGCACTAATACGCTCAGCTTGTCAAATGAAACTGTTTGCAAATAAGAGCTCATGGTAATGTCTCTTCCTTGCCAAGGCAAAAAAAAAACCCTAGAAACTGTCATGAGCATATAAGCATTGCAGGTCACGTATAAATTGTCTCCTTATTTCCCACACAAGGACAGGGACATCTATTTACATATGGGATGGAGATGGTCAGTGCACCACACATCAACTTAAGAGTTATACAGTCGTCTCTTAAAAACAGTAATTACTTTTCTCTAAAGTCAAATATTGTTATTCTTCCAAGAAGGAATTATGCAACATCTATAAATAAATATTTTAATCTATTTTACAAACTATAGTCTATTGAATAAATACAAAAAGTTTCATCATTCCATACAAATGCACTTATTTGCTTTAAAAGGTAGTCTAGTGATTAAATATTTTTTAGCACAAAACTCAGCTGACTTCCTGGAAACAAAACCCACTGAAATGTATAAGTGTGTAGCAGACCTGCTGCAGACTATCCCTTTTCTTCTGTAAGTGTTGACGACAATCACTACTCAAAGTCCTCTTCGTAGTCATATTCATCCAAGTCTACATCAGCCAGATGGGAAGGCATTTCAAAAAATGGTCTTTTTTCCATTTGATACTTTAGAACATTGGCCTTCTGATGGTCTACAGGGTTCAGTTCTGCTTCATACCTAGAAATGGACAAGGAAAAAAATTAAGGAGAGTTTAGATATGTTGGGAAGTGCCTAAGGGTTACAACACTAATGAGGCACCCTATAGGAAGAACATCATTTCTAATATTTTATATTTAAAAATCAGGTAAAGAAACATGCAACCAAATGCACCACTCAGTTTCTGCACCACTTTCATTTAAGTTAAAGCTATTTTACTCTCCCATCACATGTAGAACTTGAGATATGCAGCCATACTGAACGAAAGGATTCAGGGCACATAGTGCTCTAGTGGGCTACTCTTAAGTTGGAAACTCTCAAATGCAAGACATAAGTATTTGAGAGAAATCCTTCACATTCTTTTCAAAGAAGCTTAAATTAGGTTGAATTAGAACAGAATACACCTTAAGTAGATGCAACAAAGCACAAAATATTAAAAGTTATTAAAATGGGCATGAGCACAAGGAAGTGATAGCAACCAACTGTTCATTTAAGCAAATGCTAGAAAGCAAGAGTCAGCTGTTTAATGGGAAATGGCTACTCATAACCACCTGCTGATCATTAAAATAAACAGATAGGTAATAAGGGGTAATAAAATGTAATGTTTAACTAACTCATGTCAGTGAAGGCTGATATGTAAAAAGATTTGCTTCAGCACTACTTAAGTGGAAATGATCATAATTGATAACTACAAAAAAAATTAACTTGAATGAACTCTAGTCTCAATCAAGATTTATGATGTCAGAGCATACCCTCAGCAAGTTTGCTGATGATACAAAACTGGGGGGAGTGGCTGACACACCAGAAGGCTGTGCTGCCCTTCAGA